GTAGGCCACCAGAAGGGCCACCGGAGGGCCACGGGCGGGGCTCTGGGCTACCAGCTTCTCAGCAGGTGTGCCCGAGAGAGAGGCTGCGGTGCTGAGGTGCTGCCGAGGGTGCCAGATTTACCATAGCTACAGTTTTGTTTGAGCACCATTATATATATATATATACTTCCCTCTACAAACTTTCCGCAGCAATACTTTAGTTTTCAGGTAGGGATTTACTGCAGCACCAGACATGGAAGGTGGAGCAGGCAACCCCCGCCCGCACCATCTTTCTTTGTAACAATCCCAGTGGCCCTGATTCGCTTTTAGTTGTTGTTTGTTTATCATTAGTAGTTTATTTTGCATGTAAAATGCTTGGTTTTTATTTCAATTCACCCCTGTTCAGGTTTTCCTCAACAGAAATGACGTGTGATTGCCGTCATCATCATCATTAGCGTCACCTGGTGCCATTCGGCAGCAGGCTGACGATATCTGTGGTTGGGAGTGTGTGTGTAGTGATACTTCCTTTCCTAGAATGTGTCTTTATATGGAAAATTACCTGCAGAGGGGTGATGGCATGCTACTCAGGGTGGCACCTTTACACACATGTGCACTCGATCTATTTCCCCCAGAAAAGGTTGGAACCTTTAAAGCCTCTGCCTGTAGGTAATAAAGAACAAAGTTATTTCCTGAGTTTGGCTACAGTAGTGTCAGAGGGTAAGCACTAGGTTGCACAATTCATAGCAAATTGCAAATGCTTCACACAGTTGCAAAATGATTTAACAGCTCTTGAGAATTAGTTGCTTTGGGGATCAGTGAAGGCAGGAAACAAAAGCAGCCTCTGGAATAATACTTGAGGATGATGTGTGGAAGAGCTGGCTGATGGCATCCCACACTAATCCCAAAGATGACTGCAACAGAGTGACGAATTTACAGATACCCGTTAACGGCTCACTTAACAGCCCTGGTTCAAATCCTTGAAGAGAAGCACCTGTAAGAACATTGCTTGTTCTGGAAAGAAGCACCAGGTAAACTGCAAAAAATGACCGGTTCAAAGTACCAATGAATGGCTTGGAACCAGTGAGACCTGGCGTGACGGCACAACTACCGTAGAGGGTTGTAAGACTGCTCTGAATGCCCCGAGATTCAGGCAACACATGCCTTACTCACAGGAAGTCCTCAAATCAGTTTTCCTGAAGCCGACGTTACCTGATGTTTCCAAAACGGCACACTGGTGTTCTCATCCCTCTGAGAACACAAGGCCTGGACCTGCCTCTGGTATCCCCCAGGGTTCTCAGGGACCCTCGGCAGTCACCAGCCTGGTCTAGAAATACAATGGAGGCACATATGCTAGGGCTAATGCCCAGCCCTGGGTTGGAAGGGTGAATTCGCCCTAATGTGACCTTAATTCTCTACAGTTGTGTTGCTTTACCCGACACAGGCCTATGATAGGACTCTTATCACTGATAACTGCTGTGCTGCGGGGCCCATGGGCATCCCTGAGCGCACCCTGGGTGAGCCAGGCACCTCCTGACCAGGTGCTGCCACCTGCCTGCTGGCCTGTTTCCCACGTCCTGCTGGCCCCAGAGCCCGTGGGGGCTCATCGCCTCTGGTTGGCTTCTTCCTGTAGCTTTTCGACATAAGAATGTCCAAACCTGTAGGGGATTTTTATAAAAACGTTTGAACCAAACGGACGACATTGCCGGGGAGCAAGTTCTGAAAATGCTCCGGAGAATAACAGTTTTCCAATTTCTTTTATGCCTTTGGAATCGAGGCAACCTTAGGAAGAGGACGTGGAGGTGGGGGAAAGCAAGGCGGGACAGGATGCCAGGGCGGTTAAGAGCCTGCGCTCTCCTGAGGGCGGTTACGCCTTCCAGGGGTGTCACTTCTGGCATCTCACAGGTGTGCTAAGCTGGGTGCACAGAAACCAGGGACGGGGCTGCTTAAGGCAACGAGAAGCCTTCGACCGGGACGGTTTGTGCCTGGGGTGTGACCACCCACCCTGACCTGCCCAGCGGGGGGCTGAGGACCCACTGACCCGCTGGGGCTCCTTCTCAGAGCCCCCTTTTCTCTTCAGCCCCAGACGCGAGAGGAGGTGGCCTGTTGGAACGAGACGGACAGCTGGGTGGGCACAGCCTAGGTCTCCCAGCTCAAGTCCCTGCCGCCCGGTGACCCCCTTCCCGGCTGCCCCAGAGCGGCTCTCAGCCTTCCCCGCCTCTGTCCTTATTCCTGGGGGCCCCCTGCCTCTCTGCACTGGAGCTCTGTCCTTCAAAGCTGTCAGAGTCCACCTCCCCTCCTGCACCGTGGAGGCAGGCACTGTCCTTACCTCTGGTCCCAGGCTCCCTCCCGCTGTGCTGGGCCTCCCACTGTGGTGGCCGCCTGAGGCCCCAGCTCACGCGGCCCTGGGAGAGGGGTGGGCTGGACACGGGGCCCAGCGCCTGTCCTCTGCTGCCCTCTGCTGGTGCTTTAGAGAATAGCAAGGCGCTCTCCGGCCAGGAACGACCCGGGGTGGGCTCTGGGGCCGCTGGGACAGGCCTGACCCCTGCATTGGGGGCTGCTGCGTGCGTGCTCCCCGGGGCTGTGCCCGGACACGCGCCAGGTCTTAGTAAAAGCGGGACTGAGCTGGACGTCAGAAGCGGGCAGCCCAGGGGCAGCGGGCCTGAGGCCGGGAGGCCGCCCCCCCGCACACTTTCTCGCTCGCAATTGAACACACCTGCTTTCGAATTTGTCAACTGGTACAAACGACTTCTTGGCACTTTTCATTCCCCAAAGCAAGACCAGGAAGCAGCTCAAACTCCAACAGCTGGATGGACGTGGATTGGCCGCGAAGGAAAGTGACCTCAGAGGGTGGGCGGGTCATCAGGCCCTAACCGGGCAGGGTGGGTGGGCGGTCAGACACCTGGGCTGACCCTGGGCGTCTGGCCCTGAGCACAGGCAGACACCGTCGGGGTGGGAAGCAGAGCCCGGCGGTGCTCCAGCCACCCCTTCCAGGAGCAGGAGGACACGTTCCTGGCACCCACGGGGCAGGGGCGCAGGGGGGCGGCAGGGCGCTCAGAGGCACAGGCCCCCTCAGCCCCAGCGACTTCTCCCCCCCCCCACGCCCCAATTCACCCGGGTAGGAAACCCTGCTCTTTGGGGCTGCATTGTCCCCCCAAAAGACACGCTGCTGTCCAGACGAAACCCCAGGACCTCTGAGTGTGACCCTATTTGTAGGTCATTATTTGGTCACATGGGACACAGAAGACACACACAGGAGAAGCCTTGTGAGGAGGGGCGTTCTGAGGCCACCGGAGCTGGGAGACAGGCCAGGAGCGGGCCCTCCTGGGGGGAGCACGGCCCTGTGGGCGCCTCCATCCCTGCTCTGCTCATTGTTACAAGCAAAGCAACAGAACATCAGAAATACAAGCGACACACCAGGGCCAGGCAGCCGGGGCACTGGGGGAGCCAGCGCTCAGCCCACACCCAGAGCCGGGGCCACGGGGCCGTCCCCCAGCCCTGCACCCCCGCCTCCTTACTCCAGTGGGGCTGCTCTCCTTCTAGCTGTGTGCCCCACACTCCACCTTCTGCCTGAGGAATGGCCCCTGTGTGTCTGTGGGGGTGGGAGGGAGGGAGAGAAGATCTTACCTTTCCAGGCTGAGGGGCTCAGCCCTCTGTACCGAATGTAACTAGTCCTGAGCACAGTGACACATGTGCAGGGTCTGGGCCGCAGTGCCCACAGCGGGGGTGGCCGTGACATTGAGGTGTCCAGGGGAACTGCACAGGGGCCAGCGCAGCGCGCAGCGTGAGGTTCATGACCAGCCCCCGCTCCCTGCCTTTCCTTTGCACCACGCACCCCCCTCCCCCAGCTCACTGGAAGCAGTGCTCCCCACTGCCCCCCACCCCAGGCTGGGGTCCAGGCCTGAGAGCGGGGAGCAGGACCCCACCTCCCGGCAGACACGCAGGTTTCCTTTGAGGGACACACCGCCCAGCCGCTCCTGGAGTCCGGCTCAGGGGCTTGTGTCCTCCACTCGGGGAAGGGTCCGAGTGACTTTGAGAATGTGACGCTTTCTGCACAAATGCTTACTTAGAAGCCACACCTCTGCTGACGTAACCGGAGCCATGAAGCTCTAAGAGCCTTACAGTGGTCAGAGCAGGGCGCGGAGGCATTTGTGGCCCATTTCCTTACCGGTCCACGAATGTGCCTTGTGTCTAGATGTGAATATACCAGAGACACTGGCGCTGAAAGCCACTGATTACAGCAGCTAGCCCAAGGGTCCCTGGCTTCCTGGGGCTTTGTGTGAAAATGGGGTCTTGCCAGTGGAAATAACCAGTCTGGCTCTGCCACTGCGGCCGCCTTCCTGTGTGATTTTAGGCGACTGCCTTGCTGTCTCTGTGCTTGCGACCCCCCATCTGTGCGGTGGGAGGGACAAGATTCAGATGGTGGCTGCCCGTTTGGAGCTTGTGCTTTGCAGAAGGGAACCCAGGCCTATCAGGACCAGCGCCCCGAGGGCTGCTCACCCAGACCTGCTTCTTGGTCCTTGGTCAACAAGGGTGCGAGGTTCTGCTGACCCAGCGGGGGCCACTGGGATGACCCCATTTCTTTGAGGCGCCAGCTGCACAGTGGTTTGGGTTTATTCAACCTTCTGCTTCCAGGCTGGGGTGTGTTTACACCGGACTTACTTCATTTACAACAATAACAAACGAGTGAAGGCATTTCCACCAGATGCAGGTTTCTCTGCAGCTTCCTACTGGGCAGGGCTGTGGCCTCACCAGAGCCGTTTCACTCTCGTTAGGGGACGTCTGTCTGCACCCAAGGCTTTCATTTTCTCTGACTGACCGTGGACCTGAGTACAGGGGATCGGTCCTTCCCTTCCTACGAGCAACACTGGTGGTGCCTCGGGTGTGGGCTTGTTGCTGCCCCGACCGGGCTCTGCAGAACATGCGTCCGTCTTGGTGAGGGTTCAGGGGGCACCTGAAAGATCTCATGGTGCTCTGCGTGCTCTCCAAGGCGACACGCTGGAGCATAAGCAAGAAAAGAGCTCTCCAAGTGGTAAAATAATGTTTTATTCCATGGATGAACAAACGCACCATGCCACATTCTCGAGTCCCTCCTACCCGATCTCATGGCCAGAGCCGGCGTCCCCGTCAGGCCTAGCTGGCTTTGCAGTTGGTCAAGGCCACTGAAACAGCAAAAGTGCGATCACGTAGCATTCCCAGGGGTCCCGTTGGTCAGCACGTCGATCCTGTTCACAAACGGTGATGCTGTCACCTTAAGAAAAACATCCTGTGCTGGACATCTTCCAATGGGACTCACTACACTGACATTCAAAGCTCGTGTAGATGAAACCAAAACCCCCAAACACCGAAAAGCAACACGGACACATCTTCTCTGCGGACAAGATGTCAAGGACCCCCCAGCAGGACCGGGAGCTGCAGAGCTCAGGACTGACACTCAGGCTGTGAACAAGCGCCAGGGGAAACAACGGTGAGCACTGTGGTCCAAACCAGCACTTGTAGACAGCGCTGACCAGCCAGTGGCGGCATGCAAGTGGGACTCACGTTGGGGACCATGGGAGGGAGCAGGGGACACTGCACGATGCCTGACACACATGCCCGTCTTTATATACAACGGAATGAGACACACATGGGCGCGATGGCTGCACGCGTGGTCCGAGGGCAGCTTACAAGGCTGGCACGTGCTGTTGGCACGTGGCAGGGCGGGCACCAAGCTGTCCCCAGGACAGGAGGCATGCCAGCACTTGCCCACACTTTCCTCAAGGGCTGCTGTCACCCCAGCACCTGTGACAGAGCTGGGGGTGGAGCCAACCCTTGGTCTTCTTACGTTTTTGAACCAAAGTTCATCTGAAAAGACTCGATAACGTCTCAAGGGTGGAAAGCATAGGCTTACGGACGAACGTAAATGGACAGTGAGAATCTAAGCCAGGTCCTAATGCAGCTTGGCGGGAGAGAGCTTTTATTGATGCGTTTTTCTCGTTTTAGTAAATAGTATTGGATGTTTCCTTTCCCTTCCGTGCTTTCCGATATCTCCAAAGTCTAAAGACGACCTTGAGGAGAGAGCAGTTAGTTACTTCTGATCTGTTTCTTCATCTAAACAAGTGAGAAGCGTACACACTGACTGAGGAAAATAAAGCAAAACAAAGTGGGGCGGTGGGGAGGGGGGCGGGGGAAGAAACAGCACAGCAAAACAACCCCGTGACCGCAGACAGCGTCAGGTAAAAACCATAGAAAAATACGAATTAATTCCGTAAGGTGAACCATTAGCAAAGCTACAGTAATACTTTTTACAGCCCCTTACAGTGCGGATCTCCTAGTGACAGCGAGGACCAAGCCAATCTATGCGGGAATGCTGTTAACATATTGTGCTATAGCGGGCTCCTTGGCGTGGGGACAGGGGACGGCCATGCTGCCGGCGGCCGCGGGGCTCCACGCAGGCGGGTCTTCATGCTTCTGCTGGACAGCATGACCGCAGGGGCCGGTTCCTCACTGCGTTCCTGGGGCGGGCCGGGGTGTGGCCAGCAGGAGGCCACACGCCACGATGGCTCCAGGCTCCCTGGAGGTTCCCCGAGGCATCTCCACCGGGCAGGAGCTGGTGTCTGAAGCAGAACTGCCGTCGGGACCGAGACACACATGCTGCAGAGCGGGAACACTTCCTGCCCCCCACGCCAGCCCTGGCGGGAGAGGGGGGCGGGGTTCCCAGTCCTGGTCTAGGAAAGGCGCCGTGCTGCTGCGGGCGCGCGCGGCTCAGTCCTCCTCCTCCTCCCTCACTGTGGCCGTGGGGGCTCTGTCCTGAGCCCTGAAGCATTCCACGAAGAAGTTGATGACGGCGCGGTAGAGGTGCTGCCTGAGCGGGGCGCTGTGGAAGTAATGGCTTTCGTCCGGGTAGATCTGCGAGGAAGACACGGAGGAGTGACTGGCCCTGGCCCAGCCTCCTGGGGGCCGGGCTCCGGCCACGTCTGAATGCAACCTGCGACAGGAACTTCCTGCAGCGCCCGCGCCTTTTCCTCCCGAGGCTCTGCGGGGCGCAGCACGCACTCAGGGGAGTCGGCTAAGTCAGGCATCGCTGCAGCCGCTGACCCTGCAGTCTCCCCGTGCTTTGGGGCCTGCAACACGAATGCATGCTCAGGGACCCAAGTCTCCAGGGGCCAGGGCTCCCAGAAGCAGCAGCCAGAGGCCTGCGTTCTCTCTGTAACGCCCATGAGCATGGGAGACGTCCCACTCGCATGCCGGGTCCTGGACTTGTGCCTTTCGGGGGCTCGCCACCTGGCTGCACCACGCACTCACCGGGTGGCTGTGGACAGGTAAGTTTCCGGGCCTGTTTCCGGTTGTGTCACATGGTAATGATCACCATGAGGACATCTGGCGCTTAGTGATATGGGAATTAAGTGCTATAATACCTGTGAAGCACTTAGAACAAGGCCTGCGTTGTGGGGAGCGCTGGCAAGACGGCAGCTAACTGTTCTACCGCCAAGTGTAATGACACCTCCTCTACACTAGGGGCGCTGCGCCGTTTCCACACACAGGTACTTATCCCAGCAGGAGTCCAAGCCAGGTCTGACTGACCTGGGAGCACCGCTGCTTTCCAGGATACCAGGCTGCCTCTTGCATTTTGAATTGTGCCTTCCTCTTATGGCTGTGAAGGATGGCATCACTTTTATTTTAGAGCGTTGATTAATGATGTCGCCGAGCTATTCTACGGACGTGAAACATCAAATACTACAAGAGGAATACGCCCGGAAGAAAAGAAAAAGGGTAGGAGGTGCGTCTCCTCCTGCCCTGGGTCCCCAGACCCCGTGCCCTCACCTGCACGATGACCGTTACAAATGCTCTGAGCGCCTGCTAAGGCAGCCACTGTGTCTGCAGACACGGTCCTGTGTGGGTCCCTTTCACTCACCAAGTGGGGTCTGGGGCGCACACTGCAGCACCTGGCTGACGTCACAGCCTCTGTCTAAGGGAGCGGTTCACATCAGCACATGGAGGTCTGTCAACCTACCATGGCTGCCTGCTGTGCGGAAAATGCCCCAGCAGCTGTCAAGTCTCCTGATACGTTTCAGGAGGAAGCGCAAATGTAAGATTCACCAGTCCTTCCTCCCCGGTTCGCCCACACCTGAGCCAGACCCCCTTCTCACAGAGGCTCCCTGACTGGCCCGGCCCGCACGTGACCCTCCACAAGACAGTGATGCAGGAAGGTCAGGAGCTCGGGGACGGAGGCGGGCAGAGGGCAGTGCCAGCGCTGGGGCCTTCACAGACAGGGTGCTTGGCTGAGGAAATCCCTCATTTATCTCTGGACCCGAAAGGACCACTGGGGTCATACTTGTTTTACCAAAGGCCCTGGTGGTGAGGACGGAAATGGAAGAAGTTTCTGGAAGCAGCACTGTGCATCGCTGGAAAGAGCCTAGATCTGAGCTGAGTTGGTGCTTGACACCACGAGGAAAAGGCTGAGCGTCTGCTTCTTGGAAAGGGCAACGCTCTTTAACTACTGCTCAGCCACAGATAATTCTGGAACACCCAGCTAGTGTTTAGGGAACACGTGGTGTTATCCAGAGGGAGGCTAGTGAGAGAAGGCTCAGGACCCACTAGCACTGCTCTCATCCACGCTGGGGCAGCAGCCTCCTGGTCATGAGCCAGCAGCACCGCCGACGTCACTGGTGGCTGTTCTGGCTGCTGGCTTGGCCTGCTCCCTGCCCGAGTGGAGGTGGGCGTGGGTGGCGGGGCTGGACTTCTCAGGGGTGTGAACAGAACCTGAGTGCAGGGCTGAGCTGTCGTAATTAGTGGCAACAGGACGGTGTGCCCGCCTGGCACTCGGATGCCCGCCCAGCTCCGACAGCCATGCACAGACGTGTCTGCCGTGGGGCTGGGCTGCATCCCCGTGGGCTCCTTCTCCGTGGATAGGGGTGCCTCTCCAGGTATGAACAGCGGCGGTGTGCGCACTTACCTGTAGGCTGTAATTAGCCTTGCCCTTAATTAGGTGTGTGATGAGCTCTGCTGTGTGCTGGAAGTGGATTTTCTCTGTTAAAGAAAAAGAGGAACATGTTTGTCAAACCCCACGGAACCACTGGGCGACGCGCCACCAGATTCTCCGTGGGTCACTGTCTCCGGGCCTCACCGTCAGCAGTCGCGTGAATGATCAGAAACTGCTGTTCCTCCAGCGCCGACACTCGATGTGCCACCCTGGTCATCTGCACACAGGGACAAGGGGACAGTTAGTGGCTACACTGCAGGGGTATTTGTACTGGAGAGGGAGTGAGGGGCTAAGGGCAGTTATTGAAGAGAGTTCCCAGGGAACTGGGGTGCTTTCTATCTGCAACGAAACGGACAGTGCTCTCAGGAGCCCCAGCTCCCCCCCCCACACGCCTCTGAGGAAGCGGAAAGGGTGACAGAAGAGGGAGAAAAGGCAGCCTCAGAGGGAGGTGACCTCTTGGCCAGACAGTTCCATTGTCCATGTGACAGTTTCAACTTTGAGACCACAGTCCTGCCCTGCAATGGGGCTCTAGCCCCCTCACTGCGCCTCATGGAAGAAGAACCGTGTGTGACATCCATGCTGAGTCACCGAATGGCTCCAGTCCCAGAAAGGCAAGTCACACTGGCCCGAGGGGTCACAGTCACCTCAGCCCACAGAATGGCGGACGGAGGATCAGGCCTTCCCAGAGTGGGCGTTGATGGAGGGCGGGGAGTGCAGTAGACCCAGGAAGGGGTGTGCTTCCAGGTGGGCTGGGGCTCAGAGAAGGGGTGACCGCTTTCACCACATGCCCTGCTGGCCAATGGCAGCTGTGCCCACACCTACCTCATATGCTCTGTTGTCAAGTCCGTAGAGACCCAAGTACCTCTCGGAAAATGCAGACGCTGGGCACAAGCAGAGGAAGAGAGGTTAGCTGTCTGCGCGGAGCCCCCGGTTCGGGAACGCTGGGGCTGGGGCTGGGGGTGGGGGGACCCCCTTCCACTGGAACGGCAAGCATTTGCTTTCAAAACACCAAACTTAACCTCTTGGGTCTTGACACGGGAAACGAGATGGTAGCATGGTAACACTTAACTATGTTAGCGTTACGGCTGGGATTTCAGTGGGATGGCAAAACCTGGATTATGCAAATCCTAATTAGTCTGAATCCTAAATAAACAGGATACCTGTCCACTTCATTTCCACATATGGGAAAAGGAATAAATACTAGGAAAGCCAATTTCCATCAGGGTTTACTTATTTTTGAAGAAAATCTTGGCATGACTCAGTTCTATCCTGAGCCCTGTCCAGGTTCAGGCTGTGGGGACGACCTGGGGGCGGCTGGCAGAGGCCGGGAGGAAAGCGCCAAACAGCCTCCAGGGGTTTCCGGGAAGTCCTCAGTCAGGTGCCGGGGACACCGTGAGGCTCTCCCCGTCTTGGGCACGGTGGCAAGTCACGGGGCAGATGGTGACATTTATGTGCATTCAAATCAGGCAAATTTGAAATGGTGTGATTAAAAAAATTAAGAAAGACTCACTGAATTTGAAAAAGATAAAATATGCTAAGTGGACTCCCGCGGGAAAATTAATTTTAGATTAAAAGTTTGAATTCAGGCTCTTGTATGATTAGAAGTTGACTTTTGCATGAGAGCATGTTGCAAAGGTCAGTGCATCTGTCGTCAGCCTGTGGGCTGCTGGCCCCTCCCGGGGGTCCATGGAGACGGGGCACGTGGGGGGGTGCAGCCACGGGAGCATTTAAAAAGGGGTTAATGTGACAAAGCCATGCGCCTTCAGAGAAAAGGGGCTGGCTGACCAGAGGAGAGGGATGGAGGGAGGCTGGGGCCCCAACTGTGACATGGAGCCATGTTTGTGGGCTGTGTCCCGAGCAGAGGTCTGGTTCCCACACCAGGTGGTCTGAGCTCTGGTCCCTGAAGCAAATCATCCTGTCACCGTCCTGCCCATGAGAAAGCCACTCTCTCCAGGAGGGTCCCGTCTGCCGGGACGAAGGTGGGCAGACAGCCGGGCAGGGCTGACCGCTCAGATCTCCACCCATTACCACCAAGTAGCAACTCTCCCAAGTGCCTGTCTGCCCACCAGCCCCCACCGGGACACAGAGCGCACTCCCTCCTTTCAGCACGAAGGTTTTCCAGCTCCTGCTACTGTTTGTGTTCTCAGGGCCTGGTCACGTATGTTGGGACATGGTTTACGGCGTCAGTGAATGGGCCGCTTTCAGTCAGAGCATGTGGCTTGAAACCCTCCCTGTCCCTCCCCAGGCTTCCCCTGTGAGCCTTACAACCCTGCGTAGTTTATCACGGACTGTGGGCGCCCGGGGTGGGGGAGGCAGGTGGGGATGCAGAGCTGAAGGGAATGCAGCGGGGCCACGCGGGGGGCTTGGCTCTTTGTCTAGCCCAGGTCATACCGTAGAGCTTGAAGTCTGTTATTGGAGAGACAGCGGAGCCACAGGCGAAAATCTGACCTTGATTTTCATCCTTCGCTGGGAGGATGTACGTGCTCAGGTACCCTCCGTAATCCTGGGAGAGAGGGAGAGAGGGGGAGAGGGAGAGGGAGAGAGAGAAGGAAAGAGAGAGAGAGAAGGAGAGAGAGAGAGAGAGAGAGAGAGAGAGAGAGAGAGAGAGAG